ACGTGGCCACCACAGAGGTGGCCGAGGCCCTGCTGGCCCACGAGTCCCTGCAGGAAGCCACCGTTTATGGGGTCACCGTCCCAGGTACCACAGCCCCCGACCCCACACGGGCCCCTTGCCCCCCCGCCACAGGCCCTCGGAGCCCCCCATGGTGCCTCTTTGTCCCCAGGGCACGAGGGCCGTGCCGGGATGGCAGCGCTGGTGCTGCAGCCGGGACATTCCATGGATGGGCCAGGGCTGTTCCGGCATCTGGAGCAGCTGCTCCCGCCCTACGCACGGCCCCGCTTCCTCAGGGTGCAGGTATTGGGGTCTGGGGTCCGGGGTTTGGGGTTAGAGGTTTGGGGTCCTGATTCCTCCAGCTGCAGGTAATGGCGATCCAGGGTTTGGGATTTGGGATCCTGGGATTTGATGTCTGGGGTACGGGGTTTGGGGGGGTCAGGTCCTTCCTGGGGGTTCCTGTGTCCATCATGGGAGTCCCCACGCGTGTCCTGAGGGTCCCAGGGGGTCCCCGACACTGCCGGTGCCCCCCAGGAGCGGCTGGAGATGACGGAGACGTTCAAGCAGCAGAAGGTCCGTCTGGCTCAGGAAGGAGCCGATCCTGGGATTGTTCCCGACCCGCTCTTCCTGCTGGACGAGGCATCCCAGTCCTACATCCCGCTGGATCCCAAGCTCTGGGAGCGGCTCCGGGCTGGGCACCTCCGCATTTAACCCCCCACGGGAGACCCCAAAGCTCCTGGAGTGCCCCAGAGCTGGACCCGGGGCTGTCCCGGGGGCTGCAGGGGCTCCGTGTCTGTCCTGGGGGTCCCCAAATCTGTCCTGCCACCACCTCGAACCCCACACCCATCCTGGGGGGGTCCCCTCATCTGTCCTAGGGGATCCCCATGTTCGTGCCGGGGGTCCCCACATCCAACCTGGGGGTCCCCAAGTCCATCCTGCCACCCCTGTGATCCCCACACCCATCCCAGGGGTCTCCACATCTGTCTTGGGGTCTCCCATGTCCGTCCTGTGGATCCTCAAATCTGTCCTGGGGGGGAGTCCCCACGTGTGTCTTGGGGGTCCCTGTGTTCATCCCGGGGGTCCCCACGTCCCCCCCCCATTCCCAAGTGCCTCCTGGTCTCCATGTCCCCCCTGTTCCCAACCCGGGGGGGTCCCTGTTCCCCCCCAGTGCCTCCCCCCCACCTGGGGGCTCTTTATACACAAAAATCCTCATTTTGGGGGTCTTTTTTTTTGGCAAATAAAACTCTTTTGTAGCAAAATCTGGTTGTTGGCACCCCCGGATTTTGGGGGGGGGGAGGGTGTGTCATCCCTGGGTGGGGGGAGGGTCACCCCCAAACTGGGGAGGGGGACACAAAGACCCAGCTCCATGTCCTGGGGGTGGGGGGGGAGAAGGATTTGGGAGAGGAAAATGGGGGACAGGTGTCCCACCCAGATTTGGGGGTTCCCACATGGATTTGGGGGTGTTTCCCCCCGCCCTCCCAATTTCTTCCCCCCCCAAGTGGAAATTATTCGTCTCTTTATTAAATAAATATTACAAAGGGTTTAATTTTAATCCAGTTTATTTCACTTTAAATCTTTCTCCAAAAACTGGGGAGGTCTTCAACCCTCTCAAGGTGTCCCCCCCTGACTTTGCTGTTGGCCCCGAACTCAAATCCAATGGAAAAGAGGGAAAAGAAGGGGGGGAAACCCCTTAAATATGTGCAAAAAGCCCCACTTCCATCCCCCTCCAAAAAAACCCCATCCCGGCCAGAAATTGGGTCTAAAATCCTGCAAACTGGGGCCAAAATCCTCCAAACTGGGACCAAATCCCACAAACTGGGGCCCGAAATCCCCAAATTTTGGCCTGAGTCCAGAAATTTGGGATAAAATCCGGTAAATGAAGCAGAAAAGTGCAAATTCAGGCCAAAAATCCACAATTTCAGCCTGAAATCTAAAAATTTGGTCTAAAATCCTGGGAATTTGGGCTGAAAAAAAATGGAAAGTGGGACCAAAATCTCCAAATTTGGGCTGAAATCCTGAAAATAGGGGCTGAAGCTCTGAAATTTTGGTCTGAAATCCTGAAAATTTGGGCCCAAATCCCCCAAACTGAGGTGGAACTCCCCCAAATTTTCCCCAAACCGAGCACATCCCCCCCACCCCACCCCTCCCCTTAGCCCAGCATTCCCAGGGTAGTTTCTTTTGGGGAATGTGGCCACAGGAAGAGACCCATTCAAGACAAAAATCAGTGCAAACATTGGAACAGGGACCCCTTGCCCCTCCGCCTCCCCCAAACTGGGCCAAAATCCTGCAAATCTGGGCTGAAATCCTACAAATTGGCCTGAAATACTTCAAATTTGGGCCAAACCCCCCCAACTTTACCCTGAAATCTAGAAATTGGGTCTAAAATCCTGAAAATCAGAGCTGGGATCATGAAAATTTCACCAAAATCCCCAAATTTGGCTGGAAAACCAAAAACTGAGACCAAAGTCCTGAAAACTGGGGCTGAAACCCAACAAATTGGGCTGAAATGTTGCTTTTTTGGTACCAAAAATCCATATTACTCAGAAACCTGGGCCTGAAATCCTGGAAATGGGGTCTGAAATCCTTCAACGGGGCCAGAACCTTGGGAATTCAGGGCAAAAATCCCCCAAACGCAGCCTGAAATCCTTGGATTTCAGTCTGAAATAATAGAAACTGGATCCAAATGGCTGCAAATCAGGGCTGAAATCCAAAAATCAGGTGTAAAACCCCCAAAACTGGGGCTGAAATCCCACAGATGTTACAGAAATCCCCAAGATTTTGCCAGAAACCCCAAAATCCAGGATGAAACCCGGGCTGAAACCCCCAAAATTCAGGCCAAAATTCAAAATCCCCCAAACGAGGCCAAGGTCCCCCAGATTTGTCCCAAACTCCCCCAAATTGCCCCCAACCCCCCCCAGTCCCACTCCCTCCTCCCGATCCCGGCGCTGCGGGGCCTTGTCCCGGGAATGCGGGCGCAGGAAGAGGCTCAGCCGGGGTAGTTGGAGCCGTGTATTGTCTCGATGCCAATCCAGAATAAAAACAGTGCAAATACAGGAACAGGGACCCCCCGGCCCCCCAAAATCCACCTCCCGCCCCCCTGACGCCCCCCCGGGGGGTCCCGCTGCCGCCCCGGCTGTGAAAGGCACAATTTTCGGGAAGTGCAGCCCCGGGGGGGGCCCCGAAATCCCGGAGACCCCCCCCAGCACCATCCCCCCCTCCCTCCCCCCCCAAAGACCCCCGGGGACCCCCCGGGCCCCCCCCGGGCCCCCCCTTTGCACGGTTCATGTCACACACAACGAGGTCACACAACAAGGACGTGACACTTCCACAATGATCCCGGGAGATTCCCCCGGGAATTTCGGGGGTTTTTGTGGTTTTTCTTTTTTTTTTTTTGTTTTGTTTTGTTTTGTGGTTTTTTTTCCATAGTTTTTGTTTTCCCCGGTTTTTTTTCTCATCTGTTTTTTTCTTTTTTTTCTACACAATGTACAAGGTTTGATTTTTATTATTGTTATTTTTTCTTCTTTTTTTGTCTTTTTTTTGCCTTTTTTTGTCTTTTTTTTTTTTTGCCTTTTGAACAGGAAACAGCTCATTCTTTTTTTTTTTTATATATACACGGACGAGTCCTGGTTATATCGGCAGCGAGAGCGGAAGCAAACGGGATTGGGGGGGTGGGCAGGAATTTGGGAATTCCGAAGGAATCCAGGACAGGATTTGCCTTTGGAGGAAACAAAATTAAAAAAAAACAACCCCCTCCCTCCCCCCCAAAAAAACGAAACCAAAAAAAACCAAAAAGAAGCGTTTTCACAAGCGGAAAAATCTACCCCTAAAGCTGGAAAAAAAGCGGGAAAAATCCTCAATTCGGAGCCGGGGGGGGGGAATAAAAAATGGGAATTCTCTGGGATATCACAGCCCTGGGGGCGGGGTGGGGCAAGCCAAAAATAATAATAATTAGAATAATAATAATAATAATAAAAATAGAGAGGAACCTGTGCTGGGAAATGGGGGGGGGGAAGGGATGGATCCAACCCCCCCTTGGGATTTTGGGAATGGGGTTGGGGGGAATTTTGGGGGGAGGGGTGTGTGGCCTGGGGTCACTTTTGGCGGAGAGGAAATTGCCTGGGATCCCAGGAAGGGGGGGGGTCAGTTTGTGATTGGGGTGGGGTCAATTTGGGGAAGGAAGGTGGGGCATTGTCATCACCCCCCCAGGAAGGGGTTTGGGTCAGTTTTGGGGTGTGAGAGGATCATTTCGGGGGGGAGGATCATTTGGGGGGAGGGGGGAAAGGATCATTTTTGGGGGGGGGAACTGCCTGCAGCCCCCGGGGCTGAGACCCCCCAGGGAGGGGTGACAGGGGTGTCCCCCCCCCAAATTTCACTTTATAGCACCATGAATTCGGCACCTCAAACTCCCCCGGGCCCCCCCGGGCCCCCCCC